TGTGCAAGGTCTTCAAAATTTCTTTAAATGTTTTTCATGAAGTTGTTTTTCAAGTTTTATCAAATATGTTAAATCTTTAATAGATCTTAACCAACTTCTCGACAATAAGTCTTGTTTATTCTTCAAAATATCTTCTTTTGTTAAATTATTCTCAATGATATAGTCAATTCTTTTGATATCTTTTATTCTTTTTTTATTGATTTCATCAGAACCTTTTAATTCATTTGCTGTTGCTAAATATCGATAGTTTCCAAAGACCCAAAATCTATTTTCTTCAGCAGTTAATTCTGTAGCTTTCTATCTCATGAGTAAATGATTATTAATGCAATCTTTATTGCATATATCACAGATCTTTTCTTTCTCTTGAAAATCACAACAGTATTTCATTTTGTGTTTAGGGTTCTTGCAATGATTCCACATTTTTTGACTATAATTTTGATTTTGATCTGAATCTCCATTGAGATATTTTAGAAAATTCATAGCTCTGTGGTTGAACATTTTTTTAATATTTGTCATAGTTTGATGTTTTTTAAATTGAAAATATACTTGTTCATAAAATTTGCCAGTTTTAGTAGGCTCATATTGGCCAGAGCTATATGTTAATTCTTCTTTTTCTAATAAATCAAATTCTTCTTGTATTTTAGGTAAAACACGTTGGCACTTTATATTTTCTTTCTTACATTCATCACAAATAATATCATTACATGTATTTAATTTACAACATTCTATACATAATGCTAATTTACATCTTCAATGTTGTTTTTGGCATTTTTCACATATAGGAACTTCTCCAGTACACGTATATTCTTTTTCTCATTCTTGTTTTTCTTTTTCAGTAATATTTTTCTTACATTTAAATTTTTCTAAACATGGAATGCAATAATAAATAGTAGACATGATATGTAAAAATCTTTGATTTTGGTTAACTATTTTTTTTTAAAAATCACAATGTGAAATTTCTATTCTTTTTATAATTTTTTTCAAATATTATATTTATTTATAAAAATTAAAGAGAGATACAAATTATTTTTAGATATTTATTTTTAAATATTTATTTTTAGATATTTATTTTTAGATATTTATTTTTAGATATTTATTTTTTAGAACAAGCTATTTTTAGAAAACTATTTTTAGAAACAAAAACTTTAAAAATCAAGAAGTTCATTAGGATCATATTCAGCTTTATCATCTTCAAGAAATTTATAAGGATCATATTCATCATCTAAAATGATAGTTACAGAATTTTTATGATCTATATAAATTGGATCAAAATTGTATTCATCTTCTTTGTTTTCAAAAACTTCTTTGTCATTCTCTGAAATATTATCTTCATAAACTTGAGCTTCATTAGTTTCATCAACTTCATTAATTTCATTAACAATATTAACTTCATTGGTCCTGTTATCGAAGGCCCATCTGGCATATCTAAAGCTTGGACCATAGAAACGTTTATGCCATTTGAGCTCCTCAAGCAACTCATTTAAAAAAATATTTTTTTCATTAATAACATTTCATAATGTTATTATCTTTTTCGACAATAACCTTTTGTAAGTTATTGATAATATAAAGAGATGCTTCTTCGATCTCTTTAGTTTTTTGATCATATTCTTTCTTTTCATTTCTACGACATTTTTTCTCCTTATTGTATTTTTCAAAACTGACAAATTTATCAGTCTCTTTCTCTTTTGGAACTGAATAAGGATATTCAATGACTGTTTCTGAGATAATGTAAGTTGTTGTGTGTCTTTTGGCATATTTTCAGTTGAAATTACTAAATCTTGTTGAAATAAACACTTTCTTTATAAAAGAATTAATTTGGCAATTCTTAATTTCGATTGGTTATAAATCAAATTCATAATTTCCTTTAAAATCAAGTCACAAGAATTCAAATTAATGATAAACAAAACCTTAAATCATTCTTAACAATCTTAATTGGTTTATATTGAACTTAAATTTCTTTTTTTAGACAATTATTAATTAGATAATTCTTTTTTTTAACCAAATCAGTAATTAACTGTTTTGGTAATATTACTAAAACAGTTAATTACTGATTTGTAAATTTGTTTTAGATTTTTTTTCTATAATTTATTTTACAAATATGATTAGTAAAAATAATTTATAAATTTATAGATAAAAAATATTTTCACTCGAACAGAAGGTTTAATTTATACTTTTTATGACAAATTTTACACATTTAAAAATTTAATAATTATATTTATTATAAATATAAAATATATAATTTATACAATCAATAAAAAAAATTTTTATTTTATTCTTCTAGTTTAATGATTTGTTCGTTATTATCATTGTCATCATTATCATCATCAGTTTCTTTATACCATTGTGCAAATTGAAGAGCTAATTCTTCACTGATTTTTTGTCTTTCATTGGTGGGCTTAAAGTTAAAAATTTGATAACTTTTTTTAATTTTACAATCAATTATATAGATCTTATTTTTTTTTGTAAGTTTGGAATTTTCAATATTATAAAAAAAAACATATTTGTTTGGATGGTTAATTAAAAAGAAGTTATAGTCAGAGAGAGAAGGTTTCAATTTTCTTTTTTTTTCTGTTAAGTCTTTGCAAGTAATTCTATTTGGAATATCAATACTTTTACTATTTCTATCAACAAATGATAGTTTTGCACTTGCTATTTCATCAGTTGTTTCGACTTTAATTTTAAAAGGAAGACCAAGGAAATCTTGTTCATCAAAATCATAAATTACTTTGTTTTTTTTGTTCAAAGTAATATTCAAAGTACTTGTTGCCATGCTAGTAGTAAAACAAAAATTATTAATCATTATTTTTACAAAAAAATATTTAATTATAAATATAAGCTAGTTTATTTTAGAAAATTAGTATTTACTCATTAAAAAAATATTCAAATCATAGAGAAATTTCTAAAGGAACCATTATTTTTACTTTATTATTTTTTATATAAATTTATTTATACAGAGTAAAGTAAATTCAGTGTTTTTATACTTTTATTAGTAAAATCAATTACCTGATACTGATTCGTTCATATGCAGTTTATCTGCATATGAATGAATCTAAATCAGGTAATTGATTACTAAAGCTAATTACTATATTTGGATTATCTAATCTACAGCTTATCTGCATTTGAATGAATCCAAATCAGTAATTATGCATTCATTCAATTTATTGGTGATTACTATATAAGGCATTTTTATACTAAACCTTAATTCTACTCCTATTGATCAAAAATATAATTGGTTATAGATAAGACTCTTAATTTTGTCTTTACATTGAACATAATCAATTCATTCAATAATTATATATATAGTTTATTAAATATACTATAAATAAATATTTATTATAATTATAAAATATAATTTATACAATCAATAAAAAAAAAACAAAAAATCAAATAAAAATAAAAAAAATACTAATAAAATAATTAATTATTATTATTATTATTATTATTACTATTATTATTATTATCTAATTGTTCATTAGAAGTAAGTGGATTTGAATTGAATTTTTTCAAAATTCTTTCCCGATTCATAGGAAATCTTGCAATAAACATTTGCATGATTCTTCTATTGTAAGGGAATTATGTCTTAAGAATATTGTGGGCCATCATTAAAGTTTTCGACAAAGAAATTCAATTCTTCTTCTGTAGGTTTTCTTTCGATAATATATTTAAAATCATTAAATGAAAGTTTAAAAAAGCTCATAAATAATTTTATATCATCTTGTTTTAATTGTTCTTTAATTTCATGTAGTTTATCATATAGTTTTTCTGTTTTTTCTTTTGAATATAACATTATTTATTTCAAATATTTTTATTTTATAGATATTTATAAAGTTTGAAATAAATAAAAAAATAATAATTTATTGCGATAATGTATATTCTATTTAAGGCATTTTCATACTAAACTTTAATTCTAGACCTTTAATCGAATCAATAATGAAAATCAATATAATTGGTTCTAGATAAGACCTTTAATTTTGTCACATCATGAACACAATCGATTAATTGTGTTCACTATTTCCAAGTTGCATATTGCATATCTTGATGATGATTTTATATTTGCAGCAAACATCTATAAAAATTGTGTTAAGATATTCTTCTATTCTCTACGATTTATTCGTTTTACAACTTTTAATCAATACTACCTTCAATCAAAACTTTTAATAAACAATACAAATTTATAAACATGATTTCTAAAGTATTTTACACTACAATCATAATTTTAGTTATCTTTGGTTTGTTTTTAACAAACCTCTTCTATGGTGAATATAAAGATTATATTTACCAATATATTATTAAAATTGTATATTTACGAGTATTTTTCTGGGTTTGGGCAATTACTATCTATCTGATAGTAATTTTTGTAACAGTTTTAATAATTTCTCTATAATATTGGAACTTTATTTACGAAAATTTCCCAGAAAGATTTATTTCATGATTGCTATTTTAGCAATCATATAATTAATGCTGTTCTTGGCAAATATAGTATTGATATTTACCAATACTTTAAAATAATGACATGGTCTACATATATCGAACTTTACAAATGTAGAACATGCCGAAATTCTTATTTATTCTGTATATCGAACTTTACAAACATTGTAGATCATAGTGAAATTTTTATTCATTATGAATATTGAACTTTATAAACATAGTGATAAATTTATCAAGTTGGATATTGTTATAATTCATATGTTGCATATTGTATGTTTTGACGAGCTGTTCTATTTACCAGAACTGCTATAAATAATTTATCGATGCATCTTAAGAAAATAAGATGTTTTTTTTTTAAATTGGTTTTTTTTGAAAATTAGAAATAAAAGCTCTAAAGCTTAATTTTATTTGTAAAAAGCTGATAACATGAAACTAAGCTCTGAACAAAAGAGTAAATTATACACAAGAAAACAATTTATTATATAGATTAATAATTTCAAGCAAATCCGATAGATATTTTATTAGTTTTAATAAATAAAATTATTATTTTTTGTAAATATGTACAAATTAAATTAATATTTAGAAATAAAATTCCAAAATCCATTCTTTTCTATAACTCTTCCATTTTTCGCATATTTGCTAACTATGATATTTTTAAAATTATTATTTTGAATAATTTTATATAAACCTTTTAATTTCCATTTTATATTTAAGTCTGTTATTCGTCGTATTTTTACTGGAATCTTGGTAATGTTTAATCCTCTACGAATTGCTTCTTGGAACATATAAAGCCTTTGATTATCAGAAGAAAAAAACATATCATTGATAATACAGACTTGAATAATTGGAAAATCTTCAACTTTTATTTTATTATTAACAAGGTCTTCAATGGTATTCTTGATATCATTTCCCATTTGAAATATGTTATTAATTGTACATTGACTAAACATAATTTCAAAAGAATTTTTTTCTATAACATAATCTCCATCAGCAAGTTTTAATTTTTGAATTACAAATTTCATTCTCCATAGAAGAAGAATTCCAAAAATCCAAACGAAGATTATTGAAAAAATCGATAAACTAATCATCAAAATTAGCAACATTATTTCAAGATTAATAAATTGATTTTCCTGTTTAGTGAATAGTGTAGGATTTTCAAATTCTTCATCGTTTACTGAACAGGTAGATTGATTTTCATATATATCATTTGTCCAATGTGTAGTAACTGGTTCTTGTTTGATATCTCCCCAATCATCATTTTCTGAAATATAAGTTGACAAAGATTTCAAATCATCTGGTTTTATGTTTTGACTAGTGTATTCATTAGTTTTTTTGTTAAATTTATTAACAATTTTTTTGAATAAAGACATTTTGTAAATAGTTTTGTTTGAATTGAGTTGTAAATTTATTTTATTTGATAAATTTAATGAAAAATTCTCAAAACAAATTGTCTTTAAATAAAAAACATGCTATGAACATTTATCCTGAAAAGTAATTATTAAAACCCTTATTATTATAAATTAATTTTTCATAATGAAAAATCTTGAATTCTAAGATGTTGTTATCAATGCAGATTACATTAGAATCTTCTTGTCTAATCGTAGTTCCAGCAGCAATGAGCACAAAGGAGTATCTGTTATCTTCGGCAGCACTAATTTTTATTGGTAAATTATTTTTATTGATCTTCATGATAATTTTTCTGTGTTTTTTAAACATGAATATGAACTGGTTATGTTGAGTCATCGAACCAGATATTGAAAAAGTATGACAAACAGAAAAAAGCTTTTCATAAGTTGACATTTTTTAATTATCATTATTTATTTTATTTTATTTTTTTTTTTTTGTATGCTTCCTTTATATAAAAAAATTAAATTAATTTTATTATTTATTATTTTGATTTAAAATTATAAATTTATACTATTTTGGAGATTAAAATAAATTAATAAGTTATAGGATAACTATTTTTGTTTCCAGTTTTTTTGTCATATTCCAGTTTGAATTAGATTGTTAGTTGCTTCGTTTGTTTACTAGTTTTATTCTTTGTAATATAAAAAGATTTTATTTTATGTTTATTATTTTCATACCATTTAAATCTTCAACATTTTTTAGATTTAATAAAAGTTATTCTATTATATCCAGAGGTATTTGTATTATGTAACTTTTGATTTAATGCATTTTTTCTATATTGTTTCTTTTAAATTACATTCATGATTGTCACAATCATCTCGATTAATGTGATTGATCATCTTATATTCAGGATAAATCAATTGATGAAGTTTTATAGTTTTTTTTTAATCCATGTATGAATATAATATGTATTTCTTTTTTTAATATAACTCCAAATATAATTTTGTAATAAGTGAAAATATTCTTTATCGATTAGAAATGTAAAATCTGGTTTTTGTGTTTTCACTTCTAAAATGAGTTTGAAATTGATCTTCACAAGTTGATATTTATTTAGTTTATGTTTTGGCTTATCAGGATTCACATATTTCTCCCAGTCTGTGACTACTTCAAAGTTTACAAATTTATCTTTCTAAGACATTTTTAATAAATATTTATAACAATTTATTTATTATTTATATTTTTTTATTAAATATTAAAATTATAGAATTTAAACATTTCAAAAAAAAAAACTATAAAATTCAGATATTTTCTTTTAAGGCTATTTATAACTTATCATACACTTGTAAAATTTACAATAACGACAAGAAAAAGACCAAAAGTTTCTATCTTTCGATTTTTTAAAAGTTATTTTTGAAGAATCACATTTACAAACTTTACTATAGTTAATATTACCAAGATAATATAAATTAAAATATTGAAAACAACCAAGATTGATTATAAAATTAGTTATAATATCATTGTTTTTAACAGCACATAGATTCAAAATAAGCTTTTCCCAGAAATTCAAATTTTTTTCTCCAATAGTTTCAAAAAGAGCCATACAATTTTCATAGTTATGTGCATCTATATATGATAATTTATCCAAATTCGATAAAATTTAATAATCACTTAAATGAATATAATCGTCACTCTTACTCATTTGTATTAAAAATTCGTTTTCAAAAAGATTACTGAACCATCTATTAACCAATCTCAGTTTATTACATAATTTTTTCAGATGTTGATGATATGTGATTTTATAGTAATGATAAAAATATTTTGTGATATTCTTGAGAATATCATCACATAAACATTTTATCACATTTAGGAAAATTTCTTTAAAAAGAATTATTTTTTATTTTATTTCATTTAAAATACTTTGTTTAAATAAATTTTTTATTTGTAATTAAAAAAGAAACATATTACGTAAATTTTCAATCAAAAATTACTGATTAAGAATGAATTTCTATAATTAGATTTACTGATTTGGTAACTAATTCAATATATGGAAGGTTTTAATTAATAATTTACTTAAACAGAATTTAAATTAATATCTATTTATATAACTAGAAGGTTTTACAAAATCTAACTAATGAATTAACTAATGGACTGGTTCTATAAACCTAACTAATGGACTAACTAATGGACTATTCTCACAAAACCTAACCAATGGACTAACTAATAGACTAGTTCCACAAAACCTATCCAATGGACTAACTAATGGACTACTTCCTTCAATTAAAAATTAGCTAATCGACTCAGATTTTTCCAAAAACTGTTTAGATTTTTCCAAAGGAGATTCACGAATGATTGGATGAAACTTCAATCAACTCAGATTTTTTCAAAAACTGTTCAGATTTTTTCAAAGGAGATTCACGATATTATGCAATAATTGGACGAAACTCCAATCGACTCAGATTTTTCCAAAAGAGATTCACGATATTATGCAATGATTGGACAAAACTCCAATTGACTCAGATTTTTCCAAAAACTGTTCAGATTTTTCCAAAGGAGATTCGTGATATTATGCAATGATTGGACAAAACTCCAATCGACTCAGATTTTTCCAAAAACTGTTCAGATTTTTCCAAAAAAGATTCATGATATTATGCAATGATTGGATGAAACTTCAATCGACTCAGATTTTTCCAAAAACTGTTCAGATTTTTCCAAAGGAGATTCATGATATTATGCAATAATTAAATGAAACTCCAATCGACTTAGATTTTTCTAAAAACTGTTCAGATTTTTCCAAAGGAGATTCGCAATATTATGCAATGATTGGACAAAACTTCAATCGACTCAGATTTTTTCAAAAACTGTTCAGATTTTTCCAAAGGATATTCGTGATATTATGCAATAATTGGACGAAACTCCAATCAACTCAGATTTTTCCAAAAGAGATTCATGATATTATGCAATGATTGGACAAAACTCCAATCGACTCAGATTTTTCCAAAAACTGTTCAGATTTTTTCAAAGGAGATTCGCGATATTATGCAATGATTGGATGAAACTCCAATTGACTCAGATTTTTCCAAAAACTGTTCAGATTTTTCCAAAGGAGATTCGTGATATTATGCAATGATT